ACAACACCGAGCAAATTTATCAAAAGTATAGAAAATCCAATCATTTTCTTTATTTCAGAGCACAAGGCAGAATTTTTGGTATGAAAGTATTTTTTTAAGAGAGATTTTTGCTACAGGGCACTGGTAGATTCATTTGCTAGAGAGACAGAGAAACAGAAAGCAAGAAAGCACCCCCCATAGGGATGGCCATGCCACAATCCCTTCTCCTTCATTCTCCTCTTGGGATTTTAGGCACACATGTACACATGCCCAATGTGAGTTTGAAGCTGCCGGGTTTGGGATTCAAACTGTGGTCGACTATGTGGGAGACCAGTGATGACACCATTATGACATTTTCTGGTTAAATTGGTTTTAAGATATAATAAAAAAAAAAACTTGCTTAGTTCAGGGAGAACTTGATTTGTCCTAACAATATACAAATGGATCTCTTCCACTTCACATTTTCCTAACTCAATACCTAACATCTGTTTCAGAAAACATTAATTTTTTTTATAGTTGAGTGTTTTAAAAACTTATTTAATTTTATTTATTCATTTATTTTAATTTGACCAGAGAGGGACAGAGCAAGAGAGAGAGAGAAAGTGAGAAAGTGAGCTGCCAAGGTCGAGAGACTAAGGTCTGGGACTTGAACCATAGTCAACATGTGGGATTCCAGCACTCTTAACCACCATGCCACCTGTTGGCCCCCAGAAAACATTAATTTTTTTTCTTTTTTTAAAGAATTATTTTATTTAACTTTATTTATCTATTTATTCATTTTGTTTATTTCAATTTGACCAGTGAGACAGAGTGAGAGAGAGAATGTGAGAAAGCAAGCTGCCAGGTCCAGGACTCGAACTGCAGTCGGCCATGTGGAAATCCAGCACCTTTAACCACTATGCCACCTGCCGACCCCAAGAAAACATTAATTTTCAATCCATCTAGGTATGTACATGAACATGTCTCATTCAGATGAACTAAGTAATAAATCTATGTTTTTTTTTTTTAAAGCTTCAAACTTGAGAAAATGAATCCTTTAATGTACTCATCAAACTCAAATGAAAGACACAAATCCTACAGATTTATAATACAACAAAGTTCCAACACATGAATTTCGGGGGGACATCTAAACTATTACACCTCCTATATGCAAGGTCCACTGTTAGGCACTGAGTAATCAAAGACAAATAAAAGATACTACCCTTACATTGCTTAGATGAACGTGGTATACTAGGAGAGAGAGATGTTAATGCAAATGACACAAATAAATAAATCTAGGTTTTGGAGTACTTCTCAAATATCCTAAACTAGATAGATACGGGAGAGCAGATGATTACCTGTTATATTAAATTAGCTAGAGACTAAGAGTATGTTGTTCTTTACAAAGAAGAATGATATCAGTGATCCAAGTACACAGGACAGATTTTTGACATGTTTTTTACTATAGAAATGATGTGAATTCTCGGGACTAGCAGTTAGTGTAATGGCTATGTCATTGGACTCCCATGTAGTTGACCGCGGTTTGAGTCCTGGATCCAGTGGCTTAAACTCACGCCGGGCGCGTGTGCGTGCATGCCCAAGATCCCAAGAGGGGAATGGAGGAGAAGGGATTGTGGCGTGGCCATCCCCCCCGGGGGGGTGATTTCTCGCCTCCTGTCTCTCTGTCTCTCTCTGTCTTTCTGGAGAGTGCATGTGCCCTATAGCAAAAACAAAAAAAACCAGACCAAACAAACAAACAAAAACCTCTCCAAAAAAAAAAAGAAAATAAATGATTTGAATTCTGTTGAATCTTCCTTTGGGAACTGAAATAGGTGTTAGTCAAATGGCCGTACTAGGGGACAGCAGGTGGCAAGGCATGTGGTTAAGGCTCTGAACTCCCACATGGCTGACCGTGGTTTAAGCCTCGAACGTGGTGGCTTAAAAATCTTGCCAGGTGTGGGACTGCAGGTGGTATGGTGGTTAAAGGTGCTGGACTCCTACATGGCCAACCGCAGTTCAAGTCCTGGAACTGGTGGCTTGCTTTCTCACTTTCCCTTTTCTCTCTCTCTCACTCTGTCCTTCTCTGGTCAAATTTAAATAAATAAATAAAGTAAAATAAAATAATTCTTAAAAAAAATCATGCCAGGTATGTGGGCATGTGTTCCCAGAATCCCTAGAGGAGAATGGAGGAAAAGAGATTACGGTGTGGTCATCCTTCTGGGGATGATTGCCCTCTCTCTGTCTCTCTCTTGTGAGTGCACACTCCATAACCTAGGGGGGAAGAAGGCTGTACTTGCTTTAGTAATTTATTCCTAAGGGATCAAATTCCAAACTGTTACTCCAACAGCCTTTTGTTCCAATGAACTGAACTAAGTTATTCCAATTTCATATAAGGTTAGGGTTAGCAAAGGTTTTAAGGATCTGTCTTTTTATCTAGAAATTTAAAGTTGAAGAAAAAGCACTGAGAAAAAACATAATTCCAACTATGTGAGTTAACAGCATACAAAACAAACATTGTATTTTAATTTGTAAGCTCTATAATAGCTAGATAATATCCTCTTGAAAATGGCAAAGGAGAGAAGGTAGTAAAATAATAAAAAATATAGAAGTGGCCAGACTCATACATCAGTATTTTGTGGCTGCAGAAATAATGAGGCTGGGAGCTACTCTTAGTTCATCTAAGAAAGAGTGAATTTTCTGTTTAGAAATAGGTACATATTTTGTCATTTCATCTCTTGAAATAAATCCCTCAACAGTCATTTGTTATTCTGTTGCTTTTCTGTGTTCAGCTATTTATGCTCATTTCAAAACTCTAATACATATTTCTACAAAGTACATGTAGCATTTCATTAACAAACAAATACATATTGCTGTCTTGAAGCTGACTATAATAGTAACACAAAAACAGTTATCTTCCAACATCAATTCATGACAAAACTCTTAGCAAACTAGGAATAAAGGGAACTTCCTTAATAGGATACAGAAAAATCTATAGCTAATATCATATTTCATGGAGAAAGACAAAATGCTTTCCCCTTCACATTGTATACAAGGTACTTTTACCACTCTTACTCAACATAGTAATGGAAATTCTAGCTACCACAAGAAAAAAGAAATAAAAGGCATATAGATTAGGGAGAATAAAATAAAACTGTCCCCTTGCAGATGACATGGGGTTGTCATGTGGATCACAAGGTATCTACAAAAAAAATCTCCTGAAGACTTATTTCAGCAAGGTATGCAAGATGTACACATAACAATCAATTCTATATCTATATACTAAAAATAAATGTGAAACCAAACTTAAAAATATAATAGCATTTATAATCATTCCTAAGAAAGTAAGATACTTAAGGATACACTTCATAAAACATGTATAGGGTTATTTATCATGAACATGAGTGGCAGGTGGAGGAGACAGCTGGCATGGCCAGAAATTGGTCACACTAAACAAATAAGTTACATATTGAGGAAAATGGGATCCAAGTTTATCACTGGTACAGAAGGTATCTCCAAACATAACAAACTTCAAAAAAACCTAAAGTATGGTGTTTGATTAGACATTGAAATATTGGTATGGATGAATGGTTTTATGATATATACAAATAAATATAAATAGATGTAAAAATAATTGTAAATGTACATATTTCTAAGTATGTACGTGAAGCCATGCCTGTATTTTCCTAGCTCTGTTCATTGAGAGGCCTAGAAGAAATGACAACCCAGTAGCAAAGAGGAAACTGAGCACCTGGAAATTGGTTTTTAAGTATCATCCTCTAAGGAACCAGGGCTCCTTGGAGAAATGTCTGATTGCAGGATTGGGGCAAAAGAGGTTCAAGACAAATAGGAGACTGTCAGCTTATAAATGTGTAAGGAAAGATGAAAACAGAATCACCATCTGACAGACACAGAAGGGAGACTCAGGGAGGAGTTGGCAATGGCCTCTAAGCATAGAAGGTAGAGGTCTGGTAAGGAAAAAAAATGTTAATCTAGAATCACTACACTTCCCCACGAAATACTAGTCAATCACAAAGGGAAAATAGTAAACTCAAGGTGAAGGAAGCAGGTAGGCAAGGTTATCATCATGGTGGTGAGACAGGGAATATAATATGCTTCCTTGATAGGATGCACTGACAAGCACACAGCATCAGTTCTCCAATGCCTGGAGTGGAATTTCTACAAAGAATTCAAAACCTGAGTTGAGTAATGAGGAACCAGTATTATAGAACATAAAGCTTGTATTCTTCAAAGCTGGCAAGGACAAGAAAAATTAAAAGCCTCCTCAGCATTTTCCTTTTTTTTATTATTAATTTATTTATTCCCTCCTTTTTTTTTGTTTTGTTTTAGGTTTTTGCCATAGGGTTAGGGTATGTGTGTTCCCCAGAGAGACATACAGGCAGAGTGACAGAAGGTGAAACATAATCCCCCAGGGGGAGAATTGCAGCTACGCTCCAATTGCTTCTTCATTCTCCTCTTGGGATTTTGGGCATGCACGCACATGTGCTGGGCATTTTTAAGTCACTGGGTTTAGGACTTGAACCATGGTCGACTACATGAGAGTCCAGCAACGCCACTATTATACCATCTGCTGGCCCCCCTTTATTTATTTTTAAAAATTGTTTATTAAATTAAATTTATTATTATTATTTAATTTGTTATAGGGCGCATGTACCCACTAGAGAGAGACAGAGAGAAAGAGGGAGAAAACAAGCCACTAGGTCTGGGACTTGAATTGCAGCTGGCCATGTATCCAAAATAGGTCTCAACTACCATGCCACCTGCTGGCTTTATCCTCAGTGTTTTTCTGATTTAACTGTTTTGGCTTTATTAAATTCAATAAATATTTCTGAACATAATCCTAGACCAGAAATAAAAATAAGAGTCATTATTAGAGAGGATGTGATTATACCAAAGTTGATTTTCTGATTTGGAGGGTTGGATGCACATGTCCAGAGATTACACAGAAGCATGTCTTTGATATTTAGAGTAGGTATATATATAAAGAGAAAACCAAATTAAAGGTTAATTTTTAAAATACTCACCAATGACTTTTACAAAATAAGCATCTGCTTCAAAGTTATTTTTTAGAGTATGGATGGCAAAATCATTTTTTGTATATCCTTTACTTAGTACTATAATATCCAAGATTCCCTAGAAAAAAACATACAAAAATAGTAAGAACAAACTACTAGATCAATTAAGAACATGAGCATTAAAATGCAAGGCATGTTTATTATGTAAATGTAAACTTCACTTATTCAACCTGAAATTTAAAATAAAATTACTACTCAAAAAATAAATGTATACATATAACTGAAATAAAATGAAAAAAGACATCTGTAATTTTAATCTCTGGAGGTAAATGCTGACATTTTGGTGTATTTCCTTCCAGTTATATTGACATGAAGTTTTATTTATTATTATTATTATTATTATTTATTTATTTTTAAATTTTTTCTTCGGAGAGGTGTTTGCTATAGGGCGCGTGCGCTCGCCAGAAAGAGAGAGACAGAAAGCGAGAAATTGCCTCCCAGGGAGGGATGGCCACACCGCAATCCCTTCTCCTCCATTCTCCTCTTGGGATCTTGGGCACACAAGCACATGCACCCAGTGTGAGTTTAAGCCACTGGGTCTGGGACTCAAACCGCGGTCAACTATGTGGGAGTCCAGTGACATAGTCATTACGCTAACTGCTGGTCCCCTTTACATGAAGTTTTAAAGGCTAATGAATGGACTGCCAGATCCAACTATCAGTGAGTATCTGTTTAACTGCCCTTGTCACCACAAAGGGTATGCTCATTTAGAACGACATTGCTTTGAAGCTTTTCATGAAGTTGATCACTTCTCATGTATTTTCATGTTAGCAACTTGAGTTTTTCTTGTAAATTGACTATGTTCTGTTTTTCCAGTGAGTTTTGGTGACTTATATCAATTTGTACAAATATTTTTATATTAAGGACATTTATTAAACTCCATAGCAAATTTATTTCTCAGATCTAAAGAATTTAAATTTTATTTATGTTGTTTTTGATGTGCAAAAGTTAAAAATTGATTTGTAGTTAATTCTCTTGATTTTTCCTCTTGTGGAATTTCCGCCAACTACATTTATCCTGAAGCTGCTAATGAAAAGTACAATAATGCAAGATTTGGTAGCAAGAAAAACAGTGAGATTAAGACTCTTAGCCAAAAACTAAAAAAAAAAAAAAAAAAATCCAAAATAGGATTAATGGAGTCATAATGTCCCGATGAGCATTTTGCTTTTTAAAATAAATGATCTTGCAAGGATAAACTGATACATTAACTCCGGAATTCAACAGTTCTTTTCAGACTTTATTATGATTGAATGATAATCTGCTTTTCACTTCTGCAAGAAAACAAGAACCCTGAAAGCCTTTTAGAAGGTCACCTGGCAACCAAATACAGAGTCATAAGAATGTGTGGCAATGGATGTTGCTTCCAGTTCACAAACATGAAAGTGAATATTGAACTCATTATTCGGCAATCCTGTGCAGGTTCAGGAGTCTGTTGTCTGAGCTTTTGTCTACTGCTGAATATGCAGATTTGCCAGTTTCAGTACCTGATTCTTGAGTGGTTTAATCCAAATAAGCATGAAATGAGATAAGGGCATTTTCATCTTTGACTGTACTAATAAGCCAATGGTGTCAATAAATTTGTTCCCTCTGCCATTTACCATTAAAAGAGGTTTTCTTTAATTAACTCATTTGCTTTCATTATGTCATCTATATTTTCTGGTCAAACAGGGTGAAACTAAAGTGAGACAAGGCGAATGGAAATTAAATTTCAAACACACAGGACAGCTCTGAACTCACATCTTCGTAAATGTCAAAGAAGGTAGCAACCATGGCATCTCTGATTTGATTTAGGTCTGTCAGCTCCCAGTAGACTTTAAACATACGATGTGCTTTCTCACAGCTTGCATTATTACAAGGGACATTCTCCAGTAAAAAGGCCTGCTGATTGCTAGACAACAAAGAAAAGGCATTTAGTTAATACAACACTTCAATGCTATGTAGCATCACCAGTGCTGTATATCCTAGAATCAAAGCAGATTGTAAATGGTATATAGTGAAATTATTTGGGAAAAAACAAAAACAAAAACAACTCACGTTACTGATTTATTGTACTGTGTCATAAACACACACACACACACACACACACACACACACACACACAAACCCCTAAATGGTTGACTATCCTTTTTCAACCCTTGGCAAAAATCCTGATTTCTGAGGTTAGCTGGTTGCTAGCCTCTCTTCTCTTATTTGTAGTTTTCAAGTCCATCATTTCTTTGCCTCTTGCCACTCTACAATAACTGACCCTGTTTTCTGACTGAGTTCTCAGACACTGTCATTACCTATTTAGATGTGTATTATTCTTCAATGAATACCTGTATCTTAACTGGATAACCCTCCCATCCCTTAGTTTTGTAAACCCAAAGCAGAAAATCTATAATGATAGAATTTCAAATGTCCTGCCAAGATGGTAGGGTAGGCATTGCAAAGCATCTTTCAGATGACAAAAGCATCATGCTTTGCATAGCTACTAAGTCTTTCCCTCTTAAATTCTACTCTATGCACAAAGTGATTATGAGCTTAGATTCTGAACCCAGATTATCTGGACCCAGATCCTGGTGGTCTTTTAGTAGCTCTGTGACCTTTAGCAAGTTATTTAACCTTTCTTAAGGCTCAGATACTCATTTGTAAACTGAGTAGTAAGAATATTTATAGCACTGGATTATTATGAAAATACTGGATGGAATATTTCCTGACATTCAGTTAGTGAAATGTTTATATTATCATTATATGTATTATGTAGTGCAATATAATCCCACGTAAAATACTTTCTTTGTATATAGAGGTAACTTTTATAAAGTGTGATTCTATGCAATGGCTGCTATTTATGGACATTTATGTGTGTGTGTATATATGTACATATATATCTCCTTTTTTCTCTTTATGCAAATAGAAAATGATAAACTGCAGGGCTTAGATTTTATTATTGCTCATTTATTTTATAGTAACTATTTTAACTAAACCTGGAAAGACAGATATCTTTGATCTTTTTCATTCTTTCTTTCTTTTTTTTTTTGGCTAGAGGATATGTGTGCTTGTCAGAGGGAGGCAGAGAAGAAAAGGGAGGAAAGGAGAAAGCACCCTCCAGAAGAGAATATTATGGTGTAATCCTTTCTGCTCCATGTCTCCATCCTGCTGGGATCTGGGGTACACATGTGCTTGTACCTAGTATGTTTTTCAAGTAGCTGAATTTGGGACTCAAATTGTGAGGTTGGTCATATGTGATCTGGCTGCTTTAACCACCGAGCTATGAGGCAGGCCATAGCTTTCTCTCTTTCTTTTTTTCCCCTATAAAAATATTACTTTGAGTATAGGTGATTTAGAAAAGAAAAGAAAAAAAAAAGACTTGGTTATCAGAAAGAAAAATTTCTAAGTGTTTAACTCACAATAAAAAAACCTGTGTATAAAAATGTTCATATTGTATGATGTGCCAAATAAAATTGGCTACAGGTTATCTTCTAGATAAAACATTCCAATACAAATTCCAACATATTATTTAACAAATGTGAAAACAAAACAAAACAACAACTGTCAGACTAAAACATCTATGGGCACTTGAAAAACTTTGAGGTCACTCTGCCAAATACCTAACATATCATAGTGTTCTTCTGTTAGAAAAACTAAATGATTTCTTCTCTCCTGTCTAATAATTGATTTTTAAGTCCTAGTTAGTGATAGATCTGTAGGCAATGTACCTGTTTAACTAAACAATTTTGCTAGATACTTCACAGAGATTCAGCACACTGTTATTTTTATTAGTTTATATTGAAACATGAGAACATGTGACAAAACCAATCTTTCTATAATATTGTATAATCAATGCATTTTACTGGACCTTTTGAGTGGGTGGTGAGCCTCCATTACCCTTTTCAAAGCTGCTGCACAGATTTCACTACTAGAACTCTGTAACAGTTTCAAATATACAATAACCTACAACAAAATTCTTGCTCTAGGCGCACAATTTAAGATATCATTCTTAATCTTTGATATGAGTTTGTAAAGATTATACATGTCTTAGAACTAACTAACTAGCTTGGTCCTTGTACTGTCAAACTTGGAGTTTGCAAAAATTCAGTTCTTTTAAAATTCTTCTGATTTCTACAGGCAGAGTCCAGCACCTTACCTGTAAAAATACAGTTTGACTTAAACCCAGAAGGGAAGAATTTTAATCCATTTGGTTTGGAAACCTTTGGAGAGAAATGGCTTTATTTCTTCTGAGTCAGTTTCTCTGTGTGTTCCTGATAATTATAATTAATGTATTTTTTAAAAACTTTTTTTCCCCAAAAATGACTATGACCGCTATTATTAGGTTGGTACACAGAAACTGCTGGTTTGTACTGTGAATTTTAAATCATTATAACTAGGCTCAAACATCTTTATTAATCAAAATAGGAACCATTACAATGAACACATTTTTGCTACTGAGAAATAAGTTTGTTTATTCCTGCAATGTAAAAATCCTTGCTTGGATGAACTCTTAGAAAGTATCTTCTGTCCTGCTGGTTGTGGAAGTATGGAGAAATAGGGGAGTGGTGTGACCATGCCCCATTGGGGGGTGCTTGTTCTCTCTCTCCCCTCTCTCTCTCTTTCTCAAGCAAGTGTACACAGCTTCTGGCAACAATAATAATATAAAAGCACTAAAGAAAAGAAAGCAATAGGAGATACCTGGAAAGTCTCCAAATATTCAGAAATGAAATAATCCATGAATAAATGGGAAAATTAGAAAGAAAAAAGGTAACTTGAATTCAATGAAAATGAAGACACAGCATATCAATATCTGTGACATGCCACTAAAGTAGTATTTAGAGGGACGTATATAGCACTAAACACTTCTATTAGAAAATATAAAAAGCTGGCGTGGTGGCACACACTTTGGGAATCTGAGGTGGGAGGACTGTCACACAGTAAAAAAATTGTCCATTAAAAAAAAAAAAAAAGGATACATAGTCTTAAATCACTAACCTCACCTTCTACATTAATAAACTAAAACTAGAAGAGCAAATGAAATGTGAAGTAAACAGAAGAAAAGGGAGTAGTAATGCATGGAAATTAATGAACTAGAAGACAACAGAGAAAAATCAATATAAATGAAAGCTGGTTTCTTTGCAAAGAACAATACAATTGATAAACCTCCAGCCAGAACAGCCATTTAAAGAAATAAAAGGGAGAATACAGAGTACTCACATCAGGAATGAGATAGTTGATATCACCATACATTTTACTGACATAGAGAAGCTAAAAAAATAAATGTTATAAAAAAAATCTTTACACCAATACAACTGACAAGTTAGATGAAATAGAAAAATATTTTGGAAGTCATGAAGTACCCAAAGTCACCCAAAAATAAAGAAACTGAAATTGCAGTTTAACTCCTCCAAAAAGAAAACTCCAGAGTCAGATGGCTTCATTGATAAATGCTACCAAATATTTATAGCAGAGATAATACCAGCTCTGCATAAACTCTTCATCAAACAGATGAGGAGGACATACTTACCAACTCATATGAAGCTAGCATTATACACCAAAATAAGACAGATAGAGAAGAAAACTATAGGCCAATATCCTTAATAAATAGAGAAGTAAATTTTTAAAAATTCTATGAGATCAAATTCAACAACACAGTCAGATCTTGCTTTGCACAGTAGAGTATGCTCAGATGCTTGTGCATTTTGGAACCACATTTCTGCTTTGTGATTATCTGAGCACCATGCAAAGAGAGGACAAAGTTCTGATATGGACATATTTCAGTGAACACAGCACCCTGCAATTGAAGACTATAGTTATATTAAAGAGACCAGCAGTTAGCGTAATGGCTATGTCGTTGGACTCCCATGTAGTCGACTGTGGTTCAAGTTCCGGACCCGGCGGCTTAAACTCATGCCGGGTGTGTGTGTGTGCGTGACCAAGATCCCAAGAGGAGAATGGAGGAGAAAGGATTGTGGCATGGCCATCCCTCCGGGGGGTGATTTTTTTGCTTTCTGTCTCTCTGTGTCTCTGTCTTTCTGGCGAGCATACATGCCCTATAGCAAAAATCTCTCCCCCCAAATAAATAAATAAATAAATAAATAAATAAAGGCTACAGTTATATTAAAAAGATAAAAAACCATGAACAAGTTAGGTCTATTGTAGAAATAAAAATTTGCTTTAATATAAATCAGTGTAACTTACTATTCTAAAAGAAGAAAAACCATGTGGTCATTTCAATAAGGGCAGAAAAAGCATCTGACATGGGGCCAGTGGATGGTGTGGTGGTTAAAGGCACTGGATTCCCAAATGGTCAACTGCGGTTCAAATCCTGGGCCTGCAGGCTTGTTTTCTCCCTTTCCCTTTCTCTCTCTCTCTGGGCAAATGAAAAACAATAACAACAAATGGAGTTAAATAAATAAATAATTTTTTAAAAAAGAAAAAGAGTCTGACAAATTCCAACATCTATTTCTGATCCAAACTCTTAAACTAGGAATAGAATGAAATTTCTTCTCTGTTATGGCTTTTATTTTTTACTTCATGTCTTAAAATTTGGTTGTAATAGTATTAAAAGGATTGAAATTTAATCTGACTAAAAGGTGGAGCCTTTGGGAGGTGATCAGAATTGGATAAAGTCATCCAGATATATCCTATATGATGGAATCCTGCTGATTTCCTAAGAAGAAAGACACAGAGACATGAACATGTACAGACACGCCTGCTCCTGCTTTTTGCTATGTGATGTCCTGTGCTACCTTAGGACTCTGCACAAGAGTCTCCGTCAACAGGGTGACCTCCACAGATGCAGCCCCTGGATCTTGGATCATTCAACAATATTTAGTAAGATTCTAGCCATTGTAAAAGGAAAGTAAAACAAATAAAAGCATCAACTGGGTTTTCAGAAAAGTCATGACACATTTTTGA